TGACTGCAGGGGGCGCGAGAAGGGATTCAAGCTGGGATTCGTTTATTGATGTTCGACGGGGCACTGCGCCGGGCTGGGGCGCTCTTGATGTTACGCGAAAAGCAAGATTCACATCTTTACCAGATTACCAGAGGAAGGTCGTGAACCAGGCGCGCGTGGAAGATTGTTGCAAACAATGCATGGCGTTCGGGCGCTGCCAGCAACCGGGAAGACTGAAGCATGGTCTTCGCGTGCGATATTGGTTCGACGGTGGAAAGGCATCGCCATGTGTGTTATTCAACGCAGGACAGGGCGAAACCGGCTTTCGGCGCGTGGGGATGTTTTTGCTATGCTGGGTAATGGCGTTGATCTGATGGGTTCGAAGAATTGCAAGAGAAAAGGCGAAGCTAATGTCTGCGGCAGACTAGGGCCACTACCCTCGTCAAAATTAACCTCGCAAGTTGCCGGCGCGTCATTTCGATTTCGGCGCGCCCCTCAATGTCGACACGCCGCCCCTTCAATGTCGGGGCGAGGGCAAAGATAGTCTGACCGAAGTTGACTCGAAAGTTTGACGTCGACCGACAGTGGAGGGGCGGCGCATGCAAGCACCCCGCGTTCATCGATACTCGGCCCCAGATCTTCCGACAAGCAGTTCAACCACGTCAGACATTTGTGAGGTTACTTTTGACGGGGGTTGCAGGACCAGGAGATTGGGCGCCAACCCAGATTTTCACCGACTTGTATCACGGTGCCGGGACGGGCAACGGTATGAGGCGGATCAGGGACACGCAGAAACATTTGCGAAAGACCTGGGCTCTGAGCATCACAATGCGGGATGTGAGCTGCCAGGGGGGAGGCGAATTTACAAGGAGGAAGATGATGGGCCGCTTCTTAGCCATGTAGTTACCAAACCTTGGTGGCCCGAGTCCGCTTTCGTGCACGATCGTTCAGATCTACAGTTTTCAGCCAAGGAGCTTGCGCGCTCTATGTCAGCTCCAGCCCGAGGTGCGTGGCAAGGACTTACAATGTTGGGCACGTGCCCCAAGAACCACGACAGGTGTGGGCATCAGCATTTGTTTGTTACCAAAAACGCCTTAAGCAGTTCACCTTATGGATTGTCGCCGACTTTGCCTGGTTCAAGAAATGCGTAAACGAACGAGCAGAGGACCAGTGGTGTGGATATCAATGTTCATGAAGCCGCGAAGTTCGACTCTGCGCGTGGTGGCATTCTCTTCAGGGGAAGCAGAGTACTGCGGAGTGGCGAAGGTTGGATCAGTTGCGCTCGGAATTTACGCAGGTATCAAGCGATCATTGCCAGCGCAAGCCGCCGAGGGCTCGGAGAGGTCAGGCACACCGTGGTTCGTCAGCTTTGGTTACAAAAGAAGGTACGATGAGGAGACATCAAAGTGATCAAAGTAGGTACCCATGGTAACCAAATATTTGGGTAGGGACGGCATGCCCATGCACATGCGAGGTGCCAGCCAAGGCATGTTGCAGCGGGAGACGCGATCTGGCACCTGCAACATAACGTTCGCTTAACCTGTATTCGGGTTTCTATCGTGTGCCATTTGGCCGGAGACTTGCGCCCAGGATTCGTTGAGAACCATGTGCTCGCCTACAGATATTACAAAAGACGTCAATCATTTTGTATGAGTTGGTGTTCTGCGAGTTTTTAGAATCGTGTGTCGCGTGTTGGGGAGCCCCCTGCACGTTTGTGCCCAAGTCAGACCCGCTTTCTGCACGCAGCAGTTATGTGCTGAATCTTCTTACGTGTGCCACGCCGCTCATACGGTGCAGGCTTGCTATGTAAGTCTCACCCTGCAAGGTAAAACTTGCGGCTCGCATCTGGTTGTAATCACACGTGCTGCAGTGTTCTTGCGGGGCGGTGTACTTCCATAGTCTGCCGATGGTGTGTGTGTGTGTGTGACCACATCGCCTCTCCCGCGCCTGCATGAGTCATCAGTTCTGTACAGTTTTGGTGAACGTGCAAGTCTCGGACAACTTTACAGCGCGCTGTCTTCATTGAAGCGTGACCGCAACGTTGTGGTTCAAGTTGCATTTGCGCCCAGGGAAAAAGCCCCCGCCATATCCTCAAGGAGGGGGGGCAAGAGGACGAGTTTTTGGGGACGGGGAGGAGTTCCGTCCGTTCCCCCCTTTCCCGTTCCCCCTGTCCCCCCTTCCCCCGCCCCCCCCGGCGGCCGCATTCGCTTTTTCCCCTTCCCCCTCTCCTGCCCTTCCCCCCCATTCCCTCCTTCCCCCTCGCCCTTTCCGCCCCCCCCCCCCCCTCCCTCTCGCCCCCGCCCTTACCCCAGACGCCCCCGCCCAGACTCGCGCCAAGACGTGGCAAAACCGACCACGTGGTGCACGCGCCGAGAAGTTGCACGCGTCACGGAGGAGGAGGAGGAAGAGAAGGAGGATAAAGAGAAACAAGGGGGGAGGAGGAGGAGGAGGAGGAGGAGGAGGAGGAGGAGGAGGAGGAGGAGGAGGGAGGAGGAGGAAAAGGAGGAGGAGGAAAAGGAGGAGGAGGAGGAGGAGGACCGACGGGCAGCGGGCACGTTCGCGCGTGCAGCGATTGGTGGCGCGCGGAAGGTTTTTGCGAGGGCTGTGCCCGAAAGCTTGGGCCAACGTTCGCTTGGGAATCGGGCTGGCATGTCACCCCGGCTTCGTTGGCCAGAACAGAAACAGAAGCCATGCGCCAGCCCTTGGCACGGCGCTTGGGCACCGCTGTCGTCACTGAACTGGTTTCTGGCAGGACGCGTGGGCAGGAAGAAACAGCATAACGCCCAATTGTGAAGCAGAAGTCGGGTCACGCGGGGAGGGAGGAGGGGGGGGGATGACGACGACGAGGAGGGGAGAATAATCCGTGCCGCTGCGAGGCCTTATTGTAACAATGTATACACAATGGGCCCATTGTAATTTTGAGCGGCCACGTCTCCGGACCAGACGCCGTTTCCGCGGTGTATTCGTTCCGGGCTCACACACCAGTGATCTCAGATAGCTGCCGTCGGGCAACGAGCAAATTCTCTCATACGATTGCTTTTGCCTAGTGCGCAGTGTCTCACTCAGACGATCCGCCCGTGATGTAGTCAGAACTGTTGCGTTGGACACCCTGGAGTAGTGCGAATGCTGGATTCCCAATATCTTCCGGAGACAGAATGCTTGGAAATTGTCTAGCCTTCTTGGAGACGAATGCCGGCTTCGCAGGCCGAGGATTCCTAAATCACAGCCCTTTGAGGGTTTCCCCTCGGCCGCGCTCGGGAGGGCGGGGCGAGAGGGGGCGGCCTTCTGGGAAGGGGGGGTGCTCCGAGCCGTTTCCAGAACCCCCCCGTTGCGTTGTCAGGAGGCCGCCCCCCTCGGCGCCCCCCTCTGGGCGCGCCGCCAGAGCGTGGCGGAAGACAAGGGTTTTCTCACGACTAAGAAAACTGGAACACGACAAGAGAATATTCAAGCACGACAAAGTACAGCTTATTCACGACAAGCAATCCACTTTCGCCACCAACTTTCGCCACCCACTTTCGCCACCCACTTTCGCCGCGCACTTTCGCCACCCACTTTCGCCACCCACTTTCGCCACCCACTTTCGTTCGCCACCCACTTTCGCCGCGCACGTTCGTTCGTCACCCACCTTCGTTCGCCACCCACTTCCGTTCGCCACCCACGTTCGTTCACCACCCACTTTCGTTCGCCACCCACTTTCGTTCGCCGCCCGCTTTCACCGCGCACTTTCGTTCGCCATCCACTTTCGTTCGCCACCCACTTTCGTTCGCCACCCGCTTTCGTTTGCCACCCACTTTCGTTCGCCGCCCATTTTTGTTCGCCCGCCTTTTTTCATTCGCCACCCACTTTCGTTCGCCACCCGCTTTCGTTCGCCGCCCACTTTTGTTCGCCGCCCACTTTCGTTCGCCATCCACTTTCCTTCGCCGCCCGCTTTCGTTCGTCACGCATTTTCATTCGCCACCCACTTCCGTTCGCCACTCACTTCCGTTCGCCACCCACTTTCGTTCGCCACCCACTTTCGTTCGCCAACCACTTTCGTTCGCCACCCGCTTTCGTTCGCCGCCAACTTTCATTCGCCACCCACGTTCGTTCGCCACCCACTTTCGTTCGCCACCCACTTTCGTTCGCCGCCCGCTTTCGTTCGCCACCGACTTTCGTTCGCCGCCCGCTTTCACCGCGCACTTTCGTTCGCCATCCACTTTCGTTCGCCACCCACGTTCGTTCGCCACCCACTTTCGTTCGCCACCCACTTTCGTTCGCCGCCCGCTTTCGTTTTCTACTCACTTTCGTTCGCCTGCCACCTTTGTTCACCACCCACTTTCGTTTTCCACCCATTTTCGTTTGCCACCCACTTTCGTTCGCCACCCACTTTCGTTCGCCGCCCACCTTCTTTCGCCACCCACTTTCGTTCGCCACCAACTTTCGTTCGCCACCCACTTGCGCTTGCCGCCCACTTTCGTTTTCGACCCACTTTCGATCGCCACCCCCATCTTTAAGTGGGTGGCGAAAGTGGGAGGCGAAAAAGGTTGGCGAGAGTGGGCGGCGAAAGTGGGTGGCGAAACCGCGAGAGTGGGTGGCGAGAGTGGGTGGCGAAAGCGGGTCGCGAAAGTGGGTGGCGAAAGTGGGCGGCGAAAAAGGGTGGCGTAAGTGGGTGGCGAAAGTGGGTGGCGAAAGTGGGTGGCGAAAGAGGGTGGCGAAAGTGGGCGGCGAAAGTGGGCAGCGAAAGTTGACGGCGAAAGTGGGTGGCGAAAGTGGGTGGCGAAAGTGGGTTGCGACAGTGGGTGGCAAAAGTGGGTGGCGAGAGTGGATGGCGAGAGTGGGTGGCGAAAGTGGGTGGCGAAAGCGGTAGGCGAAAGCGGGTTTGCTTGTCGTGAATTTGTTTTTTTTTGTCGTGAAGCTGCTTGTCGCGAAACCGACCCGGCCATACGAGCAGGAGCGTCTCGGACCGAGGGCAGGAGGGCCAGAGCAGCGGGTGCGGCCCGGGTGCGGCAGCAGGATGAGGGGTCTCCCGACAGGCCTTCCTGATGGACGAGGCCTCGCGGCTGAACATCCCCGCCGTGTTCCTTGGCAATGTGCCACATCACGAGCGCCGCCCGGCGGCGGTCGGGCGGAGGGGGCCCACTTAGTTCGAGGCCCGCCCCGGCCTGTCGGGTCGGAGTTGCGGTCTTGTCCGAAGAAGTTCGCCCCAGTTTCGGCAGTTACGCTCTGCATGTGCCCTACCTGTTCCATGTGCGCTATGCGCACCAAGTCCCGTGACTGCGTGGTTATTCCAACAAGTAGAAGCGGGCCGCCGCTTTGAGGCTCAGACTTCTCGACAGTTCAGGTAGCTCAGTGGTTTCACGAACGCGTCGCCGAGCATGTCATCGTTCTGTGTCCGGTGCTTCTTCTTCCCCTATTGAGTCGAGTACAGGCTCAACCTGCGTTCTGGTTGTTCTTCTCACTCATTCTGGGCGTTGTTTCCTCCTTTGCGGGGTTCCCTGGTGGACGGTTCGCAACCCTTGGGCTATGAAAGGCTCACAAAGAACAATGCCCCCCCTAGATGCGGGGTTGGCGGGACAACTTGAGAGATCCACGAACCCGGGAAGGAGCTTGAGTTAGACAGTCAAGCAGTGCCTGACAAGTCGGTCAGACTCTCGAGTCGGCACGCTATGGTATGCGATGCCATGCTATGCTGGGCTTGGCTGTGCGGTGTGCTGTGCTACGCCGTGCACGGCGGACCGCACGCTCCAGATGCATGCTAGATCCCCCCATACGTGCGTGTATTTTTCATCAAGTGAGGAAATTGCCGACCACATATTTGCAATGGCCGACCGAGTTTACCCTTGAGTTCCAGGTGACGACGACGGGCCGACGACGGCCGACCGAACGACGACGACGACGACCGACCGACAACGACGATGATCGACCGACTCCGTGGATCCCATTTCTTGTGGGTTCACGATGCTTATCTGTGTTGTTGACTCGTCAGTCCAGCGAAAGAATGGGATCCACGCAGCTTCCATGCCAAATGTTTGCACATGCACAATGTGACCCCAGCTGGGCCCATGGCTTTCCATACAAAAGGGAAAATGCGATCGGCCTGGGGATCAAAGAAATTGCGGCCCTTCAGCCTTTCAGCGAGAAAACTGCACGGGCGAGAAACTTCAAGGACAAACGCTTTACATGCCTCCTTTGCGTTGGTGGGTACATCATATTCCATACTTATGTGACCTTCTCGGTTTTCCGCGTGATCCAGCCCCCATTGCTCGCCTGCGCCTCGATCGGCCGAAGCGGAAAATTGGCGAGAACGCCGCGTGCATTGGCGGGGGAGACGCAGGTGAACACCCAATTGAAGGAAATTGTGCCTTTTCTGCTCTTCCAGCGCGAAACCTGCACGGGCGAGACGACGACGATCGACCGACCGGCGGACCGGCAGGAACATTTTTCCCCCGTTGAATCAAAGCATCCGTGTGCGAATCCCTGGCACCGTGGACCGTGGATCCCATTTTTGGGGGGTCGACGATATGTATTGCTATCATTTCAGTTGCGTGCATGTCTTTCCACTCTCCGCATCGTGTCAGGCCGTCGATGTGAATCGTTTCCTTTGGGTTCTGGCCCAATAATTCGCAACAGTGCGGTGGTGATGAATTATCTCCTGTCTGCAACCCGATTCGCGTGGCAGAGCGCTCTCGCCTACTCTGGGGCAGCAGCCTGCAGAGGTGCCCGCCCATCACGGTACCCCCGTGCCTGGCATTCCCAGGGCGCGCCGCTTGCCCTCCTTGCCCAGGCTGCCTGGCGTGCCCAGGCGGATCGCCCGCTCCGGCGACATTTGGCCCCAGCAGGCCAGAGGCCATGGCGGTGGCTGGGACGTCGTTTTGGTTGGTCGCGCTGGCGAACGAAATCGTGCTAGTCGGCCTCGCCCACAGGTGGCTCGACGTCGTGGCAGATGTGAAGGCGGCTCCGCCGGAGATGCAGCAGGTGGTGTGGGCCCGCTACGAAGGCGAGCCATTGTGGCACCAGCGGCTGATCATGGGGCGACGGGTGAGAGTTCCGAATGAGCTCGTCTCTTTGTTCGTTGTCCTGATCTGCACGGCAGAGACAGACATCTATGATGAGGACTACGCGTGTGTGGGGAGTGACATATTCGCCGTACGGTACTCGGCGAACAGGGCGTCCTTCCCGCCAGGCATCGGAGCTGCCAACTCCGATTGTTTCCGCCGAAACCTGATATGACCAAGAAGCAGATCGACCAGGCAACGCTGGACTACTGCACCGCGGTCTTGACCGCGGACCACCAGCGGCTGTGCTTGCACGCCGCAGACTTTCGGCCCGGGGCCCCAGGCTGCGGCCGCCAGGGGGGCCGCTGCTGCCCCGGGTGCCGCGGGAGGGCCACAAGCGGCTGCCCTGGTCGTGGCCGGCGGCGGGCCGGGCATCGAAACCTTTGCCGCCAGGCTTGCCGCCGCGGGGAAGCGCGGGAACATTATCGCTCCAGCGGTTGGAGGTGTGCTGAAAGGGTCGTTGTGCCTCATGTTTTTTGTCGACGGATCTCATGTTAGGCCCAGGAGTGCGCTTGGCGAGAGGCAGCAGCGGACGCCCGCCCCATGGGCATCCTGGCGATCCCCGCGGTGCCTGGCGGACGTATCCTTTGCCAGCGGATGGGGTGTCGTGGCTAGCCTCGCCGAGGAGACATTCGTATATTGACATAGTCTTGAGCCTCGTATGGTGCTGCAAGAACATGGATCGTCACCAGGGCGGGCCCTTCGACCATGTCAGGTTCTGGAAGTCACCATCGGGCCGTCGGCCGAGGACTACGGGGCAAATGATTGCGAGGCAGGGGTGCGCGCCATCCATGCGATGGCTTGCTGGGATTGCGTAGGTTTGCCCAGCGTCGCAGGTGCCGCACAGATACTTTGAAAGTGCCCGCGGCCCTCGCTGGGCGCCGTATTCACTGGCCTCAGCCGCGACCGTGGGGAGAGCGCGATTTGTCCCGCGCTCTTAGAGCACGCGGCGACGGAGGTGGAGAGGGGCGTTTCGGCCCTCGAGCAAGATCGCACGGCCCGGGAAGAGCAGCGGGCTTTGCGGCCACGACGCTGCTCAGCCCGCGCGCGTCGCACCCCCCCGCGGATCGCGCGTTCCTGGAGGGGGGCCTAGTGGCAGTGGCCCGCAGCTCGATGGTGATGTGCTCGAGCAGGGCATGCACCATGGCGGGCAACGTGATATTGTTCCACGTCTTCTGCCTGGCCAAGAGCTTCATGTACATTCCGAGCCAGCTAGCATCGCTTGCGCGCCGTCAGTGGCTCCCCGCGAGCTTCGCCGGGGCCGTGCTGATCGCATGGCGGATGAGGTGATGCGTGCCCTCGACGAGCCCTGCGCTGGCCAGCCCGGCTGCCACGGCGCACGCCCTCAGTCGGCCTCTGCGGGCCAGCAGCGAGCCCCCGACCACATTCGCGGTGTTGTCCAACGTTTCGGTGAGCCCCCGAGCCGCCGACTGGCTCAGGGGCCCCCTGGGGGGGCCCGAGTTCTCAGCGGCTACGCCAGCGAGTCGGCCACTGCATGTCGCTCCGTTCAGCTTCTCGAGAATATCACCAGCCTCTCGCTCCTGGCCGAGGGTTCGAATTCATCCCTCTCAAGTATTTGAGGGGCGGGGCTGGCCGTGCTATCATGTTGTCTCAGGCTGAGGGTCGCGCTCGGGTTGCTGCCGAGGGCCCCCCGAAGCGGCGCGTCGGCCCGGCGCTGCGGGGCGCCGCGTTGTATATCCAGCTGATGAGGGCCCTGGACTGTCGGAGCATGATCGATTACTTCGCTGACAAAGCACGCAGCGTCGGAGTGTTCTTCGTTTTCGAGAAGTCGGGGGAGCTGCGGCTCATCCTGGACGGCGGACGCGCGCCCATGCATGTCCAGGTCCCCGGCAATGTCGCCTTCGCCTCGGGCGTGAGCTTCGCCGGGCCCAGCGCGGGCGAGTGGGGGCGCATCGCCGTCCGTGGCTGAGTTTGACTTCGCCGGCGCTTTCTGATGCGCCATGCTGTTGCCGCCGCAGATAAGGTGCAACGTCGCGCCACCTGGCCTTCGCGCCGGGCTGCCGGTCCTGAGCTGCACGACGGGCGGGTGCGGCCTCGGCGGGGCGGATGTGGCATATCCCTGCTTCAGGTGCCCGCCGATGCGACGTTCCTGCAGCCTGTAGATCTGCCGGTCGACGCTGGATGCCATGGCCCTGCAGGCGCCTCAACTGACCGTCGGCGACCGCCCTGTTGACTGCCGTCCGGCGCCGCGGACGACAAGCGATGCGACTCGCGCCGAGCGCCGAGTGCGCGGGCAACAGCGCGCTCAGCCTTTCGATCGACCGGGAGGTGGGTGCCCCGTCCGCCTCTGCCACGAACGCGCGGCTCCAGGCTGCGGGCCTGCCGGCCCGTGGAGTTGAGCGCAGTTCTGGCGCCATGGCCCAGGGGTGGGAGTTCGGCCTGAGCCCGGCGCTGCAGTGGAAGCTGGCTCGCCTTCCTGGAGCTGCCAGAGGGGCTTCGCCTCGCGCCGGGCGATCGCGCGGTCGGTGTCGCGCTTCGGCTCGCGGGCCTTCGTCCGTCGTGAGCTGTTGTCCTGTTTAGACTCGTTGTGCGCTTTCTCAGCTCAGCATGGAGGTTGCACGGCACGGCTGTGGTCCTGTTGTCTGCGCGAGGTGTGCTGGCGCGGCAGTCACGTCGCCCTCTTGCTGTCGAGATGCTGGCGCAGCCTCGGACAGCCAGCTCACGATGGCGGATTCTCCTCGGTGGAGAGTCGCAGGCCCCCAGAAAATATCGCCGTCTGAGACCAGATATCGAGTTGCGGCGAGAGGTGCAGATGAGGCGCTGGACAAGAAAGTCGCGTCTCTCATCGATCGCGCGCCCTGGCGTCTGCGAGCGCCGCAGTTTCCTTCATTCCCCTGTCGATGCGCGACCTGAACGACGATGAGACCACGGGGGGCCAGGAAGCCCCCGAGGAGGCGATCGAGCGGGGGGGGGGCGTGCGCCAGGGTGGATGAGGAGTTCCCTAAAAGTTCCGATCGAGATGCGACCCGAGGGTGGGTTTCCCACCCTGTCGCGTCGCATCGACGGGGCCGGCCCGAGCGCCGGGT